AAAGATAGTGTTGATAAGAAACAAGAAACGAGTGACTGGCATTATGGATGTTGCTGCCAGAAGAAAGAGGGCCAAGGCTACTCCTCAGATTCAATACAAAAGAGAATGATTGATCAGTGCACGACTAATGGTCGGCTCAAATTAGCAAACTCATCAACAGTGCCAATAGTGATGGGAGCATGCGAAAAATATCAAGAGGTTCCAACAAATCATAATATGCCAATATGTGAAGGTTATGCTGGGGACAAGAAAGTAAATGTGCTACGAGACACTGGGTGCATTGGTGCAGCAGTGAGAACTAGTCTAGTATCCGATGGTCAGATGACAGATAAGGTACGGCTGTGTATGCTAATCGATGGGACAGTGAGAAAGTTTCCCATAGCAAAAATAAATGTGGATACTCCATATTACGTCGCAGATATTGAGGCCAAGAGTATCAAGGAACCAACACAAGACTTGGTAATAGGAAGCATACCAGGTAGTAGAAATATGGAGGAACTAAACAGAAAGAAGCTTGATGAAGCATCTGCTGTCACAACCAGAGCTCAAGAAAATAAGAGCAAACAAGACATCAAGCCTCTGGAAGTGTCAAAAGACGACATTTCGAAATTAGGTTTGCAGGAACTGAAGGAAGCACAGAAGAAACCTCTTCACTGCAGAAACTTTGGGTAAATGCCCAAGAAAACGTCGAGCATAAAACAAAAGGGAAAATACATATAGAATAGAGGAATGGGAGATAGTTCTATACCAAATCTATCAAAGCAGTTATACTGTGGAAGTGAAACAGATCATAGTACCAACAGAATACCGAACTCAAGTGATGAATTGGCTGAGGAACAAAGAAAACGGCAGACAGAATCAACAGTAACTTCCATTAGCCAGGAGTCTTAGGAGATGCGAGTAGACTCTGCAGAACATGTGACATCTGCTAAAGAATAATACCAAAAGGAAAGGTAGCCAAGGTACCATTGGGGAAGATGCCTCTCATAGAAGAACCGTTCAGTAGAGTAGCTGTGGACTTGATCAGACCACAAGCGCCTGTGTTTGAAAATGTCATCTGATATGTGCTTAGAGTAGTCGAATATGCGACACGTTATCGAGAAGTAATAGCACTGGCAAAGATAGAGACAGAAAGAGTAGCAGAAGCCTTTCTGGAGATATTTTGCAGAGTAGGCTTTCCGAGGGAAATTCTGAGTGACAGAGGATCCCAGTTTATCTCGGAACTGATGCAGGAAGTGTACAGACTTATCAGTACTCGGTAACGTTACCAACCCGTACAATTCTAAATGTAATGGACTTTGTGAGAGAGTCAGTAGAGTTTTAAAGAGTATACTATGGAAGATGTGCCAAGAGAGACCACATGACTGGGATAGGCACCTGCAGACAGTATTATTCGCTTGAGAAGTCTCACAGGCAAGTACAGGATTTATGTGTTAGATCTCAGAAACCAACTGGAGGAGACCTGTCAACCTACTCGACAAAGTTTGTATGTTCAAGTCACTCAGAAACATTTCTATGAAAAGAAAGCCAAGGATCGACATCTCAAGGTTGGACAAAAGGTCTTGGTTCTGTTGCCCACAGATCACAACAAACTCACTCTGCAATGGAAAGAACCTTTTGAAGCACAGGAAGTACTCAACAGAATGGACTACAAGGTAGAATGTGAATGGAAAGACCAGGATCTACCATGCCAAATTTTTGAAGTATTGCGGGAGAGAAGATCTAACAGGTGCAGCTATTAAAATAGAGATGGATGATGCAGGTGTAGCAGGTATATATGCAAAACCAGAAGAGAGCGACCCTTTTTTAGAAAATGAGAACCTACTAGACCTAAGACCACTAGGTGGAGATGAGACGCATAAAGACTTCAACATCAGCGAAGAACTGACTGGCAAACAAAGACCTATTGTGCCAATATGCAAATATCTTCACGGATAAATCTGGAAAGACAGACCTTGTGGAACATCAGATCGAGACCACAATCAAGGATCCAGTCAGATTGAAGCCCTATCAGATGCCTTATGCGATTAGAGACCTGATAAAGCAGGAAGTGGAAGCAATGTTGGAAGCTGGAATCATCAAGCCGTCAAATTCAGCCTACTCTTCACCAGTTGTGATCGTGAAGAAGAAAGACGGATCAAGCCATTTCTGCATAGAATTTTAGAAGCTGAATCTCGTGACGTAGTTCGACTCGGGAACTATGGGCAATCCAAAGACCATCATGGCAAAAAGAGATGGGGCCAGGTTCTTTTCAAAACTAGACCTCAGTAAAGGTTATTGGAAAATCCCACCAGAGACGGAATCTAAAAAAAAAAAAAAAACCACCAACATCGAGCACTATATGGATTACTACTTAAAAGAGACTTAAACAGCTGTTTCAGCGGGTGAGAGCAACAAGCCTCATCATCAGGCTACATCGGCTACAAGTGCTACATCGAATATACCTAGCTATGGTTTATTGTACATATAGTAGGGAACCGACAAATAGCCATGGAAAAAGAAAAGATAATCCACATACAAGATGCTCCAACGACTAAGCAACAAGTCAGATCCTTCCTGGGGTTAGCAGGATACTGACCTGACCAGGAAAGGATTACCCAACAAAGTGAAGTGGGAACAACCACACCAGGTGGAATTTCAGAAATTAAAGAATATGTTAGGAAGCTCACCAATTCTTAGAATGCCAGACTTCGACAAACCTCTCATTGTCCAGGCTGATGCTTCAGACACTGGAATTCGGGCAGTAATTTTACAGTAACGTGAAGAGGGACTGTTTCCGATAACATGCATAAGTAAAAAGCTGTCAAGTAGTGAGAAGAATTACTCTGATTGAACGAGAGTGTCTGGCCATCATATTAGACATTTGGAACTTCCAAAACGATCTATATGGGAAGGAGTACATCATCCACACAGACCAGCAACCACTAGCATACATTCAGAAGTGCAAAATTAAAATAACAGTGCAAGGATCATGAGGTGGGCGTTGTACCTTCAGAACTACAGATTCCGCATAGAGGCTATCAAAGGAACTGTAAAAGTAAAAGCAGACTGTGTGAGCAGACTGTGTATGTGAACAAAGAAGCTTTGTATATCGTGGAAAAGAAAATATTGTAAATATATATCCTGAAGAGGAATTTATGTCACGATATAAAAAACTGTCATTGATTTGTTGTGTTTTATGATCATTCATAAAACACTGTTCATTCATCGTTACCTTTACCGTCAACAAGTCACAGACACCTACTGTATGAGAATCCACAAGAACGAAAACCTGACTATCACTAGTTGTATTTTTTAACGTTGTCAGCTGCTGTATCCTTGGAATACAATCACTAGTTGTAGTCTCTGACGTTATAAATCACTATATTTCTTTTAATACCATAATTAGTTGTAGAAACTGACGTTGTCAGCTACTGTATCTTTTGAACATCATCACTATTTCTAGTGTCTGACGTGTTCAGCTATTGTATTCTTTGAAAACCATCACTAGATGTAGTCTCTGACGTTGTCAACTACTGTATCCCATGAAAACTATCACTAGTTGTAGTCTCTGACGTTGTCAGCTAGTGTATCCTTCGAACACCATCAATAGTTGTAGTCTCTGACGTTGTCAGCTATTGTATCCTTTGAAAACCATCACTAGATGTAGTCTCTGACGTTGTCAACTACTGTATCCCATGAAAACCATCAATAGTTGCAGTCTTTGACGTTGTCAGCTACTGTATCCTTTGAATACCATAACTATTTCTTGTAACTGACGTTGTCAGCTACTGTATCCTTTGAAAACCATCACTAGTTGTAGTCTCTGACGTTGTCAGCTACTGTATCCTTTGAATACCATCACTATTTCTAGTAACTGACGTTGTCAGCTACTGTATCCTTTAAATACCATCACTATTTCTAGTAACTGACGTTGTCAGCTACTGTATCCTTTGAACACCATCGTTTTGAAATGTCTGAAAGATCCGACAGATACAAACAATTACTCGCCATTTATACAGCCATGCTAAATCACGACTATAATCATAAAGACAAATCACGTGGGCTTACATTTACAGGCTGAAGAATTGAAACTGCTACATGAAATTAATAACCCAACAACTACGAAAAAGAGTTCGCTACATCCTTCGACTTCCAATTATTGTTGTAGAAGATTAAGCAAAGAGTTCAAAAACTAAGAGAAAATATGAACATGAACAAGATATAAGAATCCCCGTTTGATAGTGTTATAAATGTTTAAGATCCAGGAGTAGGTGGTAACAGGATTAGAAATACTTGAAAGATTTAAAGTCTCCTGTTTAGATGGTGTCATGGTTAGGAATACGTAAAAGGTTTAAGAACCACCGTTTCATGGTGTCAGTACTAGGAATATGTGGAAGATTTAAGAACCCCAGTTAGGGTTAGAAATACGTGGTTATATGGTGTCAGTATTAGGAATATGTAAAAGAGTGGACCATTATTATCTGTAAAATTCAAGGAGATATTTTTGTAAATTCTGTATCATATTTTCACCTAATAATGCCTTGACCTGTTAGGCAATTATTAACAAAAATATATTTTTATAATAGTCTATGACAATTAATTGGCTATGCTATAAACGTCCTCCAATCACAGCTGAATTGTGAGTAGCACTACCAGTTGAATCAGTGTCAGAATTACCACCTGTAACGTTGTACGTTACATTTCGTTCTTTAGATGATAATATCTTGTTATACCTACATATACATTTTACTGACAATCACTCCTCTAAGACCGTATTGCTCTTCCGACAATCACGTCCGTTATCCTAAATTAACTCTATGGGAAAACATTTGTGTTGAAACAGATATCTTAAGCCAAACAACGGAGAAACGTTAGGAATATAAAATAATAAGATAAGCCGTGTTGCTTACCTCATAGAATATTTAAGTTGACCATCTCGACGCACTCGGATAAACTTGTTAGGAACTGTGACGTTGTGCAAATAGGATTTCTGTCCGTTTAAAAAGTATGTGTCAGGAATCCAAACTCTTTGTAGAAACTTCCAATCCATAGAGAGGATATCAAGATCTTCACTCTGAAACTTTAACCGTTTATCCCACCATGTTTGCCGGAAATAACAGTCCATCGAATACACCTGAAATAATACCACATACAGGTAAAAGTATTATCCCACAACAGAAGACTAGAACCACTCACAGAACACAAACAGGTAAAAGTACTATCCCACGACAGAAGACTCGAACCACTCACAGAACACAAACAGATAAAAGTACTATCCCACAACAGAAGACTAGAACCACTCACAGAACACAAACAGATAAAAGTACTATCCCACAACAGAAGACTAGAACCACTCACAGAACACAAACAGATAAAAGTACTATCCCACGACAGAAGACTCGAACCACTCACAGAACACAAGGCGGTAAAAGTATTATAACACAACAGTACAACCGAACCGCTCCCAGTAAATAAACACTTAAATGTGTTATTACACAACAATAGACCCAATCACGCACAGTGCATAAACAGGTAAAATTATTATAACACAACAGTAGACTCGAACCAAGCACAGTAAACAAACAGGAAAGAGTATTATTACATAACAGTAGACTCGAACCACTCACAGTACACAATCTGGTAACAGTGTTATTAAAGTTATTAAAAGTGTTATTACACAACAATAGGCCCAATCACGCACAGTACACCAACAGGTAAAAGTACCATCACACAAAGTCGACCGAACCACAAACAGTACACAAATAGGTAAAGTATTACCACGCAAAAGAAGACCGAACCACATACAGTAGGCAAACAAGTAAAAGTATTATTACACAACAGCAGACCAAACCAACTCTCAATACATAAACAGGTAAAAGTATCATCACACACAGTAGGCAAACAAGTAAACGTATTATTACACAACAATAGACCAAACCAGTTCTCAATACATAAACAGGTAAAAGTATCATCACACACAGTAGGCAAACAAGTAAAATTATTATTACACAACAATAGACCAAACCAGTTCTCAATACATAAACAGGTAAAAGTATCATCACACACAGTATACAAATAGATAAGGTATTACCATACCTATTAAACAATTGAGAAAACGTATTATCACACAAAATAGTCCAATTCTCACATCATAGACAAAGATATAGAAGTATTATCACACAATAGCAGACCCAACCACACACAGTACACAGACAGGTAAAAGTGTTATGAAACAATAGAACACCGAACCACAAACAATACATAAACAGGTAAAAGTATTACCACACAGACAGTACAAAAAGAAGAAAAACTATTATTACACAAAAGTAGAACTGAACCACACATACTACTCAAAAAGATAAAACACACACAGATAAAAGTATTACCACAATCAGTACACACAAACAGGAAAAAGTACTATCACAGAAAAGTAAACCGAACCACACCCGGTACACAAACAGGTAAATAATTATCACACAATAATAGACCGAGCCACACATAGTATACAAACAACAAAAGTATTATTGCACAACAGTAGACCGAACCACACACACAATACACTAACAGGTACAAGTGTTATGTAACAACAGTAAACTCATCCACCCACAGTACACAAACAGGTAAAAGTATTACCACACATAGTATACAAACAATAAAAGTATTATTACACAACATTAGACCGAACCACTCACATTGCACAGACAGATAAACGTATTTTTACAGGAGAATAGACGCTCAGTACACAAACAGTAAAGAGTATGATCACACAACAGTAGACCGAACCACACACACAAACAGATAAACGTATTTTTACAGGAGAATAGACGCTCAGTACACAAACAGGTAAAAAGTATGATCACACAACAGTAGACCGAACCACACACACAAACAGATAAACGTATTTTTACAGGAGAATAGACGCTCAGTACACAAACAGGTAAAAAGTATGATCACACAACAGTAGACCAAACCACACACTAACAGGTAAAACAATTAACATACACAATACACATACAGGTAAAAACTATTACCACACAACAGAAGACCGAACCACATACAATATGCAAAACAGGTAAAAGTATTATCACACAATAGTACACCAAACCACACACAATACACAAACATATAGAATTATTATCACACAATAGTAGGCCGAACCACACACAATACACAAAGAGGTACAAGTGTTATGAAACAACAGCAGACTGATCCACGCACACTACACAAACAGGTAAAATAATTATCACACAACAGTTGACCCGAACCACTCACAGTACAGAAACAGGTAAAAGTATGATCACACAATAGTCGACCAAACCACACAAAAACAAGTAAAATATTAGCACACATAACACAGAAACGGGTAAAACTATTACCACACAACAGAAGACCGAACCACATACAATACGCATACGGGTAAAAGTATTATCACAAACATTATAGAAACAGGTAAGGTATTACCATACACAGTACACAATCAGGTAAAAGTATTATTACACAATAGTACACCAAACCACACACAATACACAAACATATAGAATTATTATCACACAATAGTAGGCCGAACCACACACAACACACAAAGAGGTACAAGTGTTATGAAACAACAGCAGACCGATCCACGCACACTACACAAACAGGTGAAAGTATTATCACACAACAGTGGACTCGAACCACTCACAGTACACAAAGAGTATTACCACACATAGTACACAAACAGATAAAAATACTATCACACAAAAGAAGACCAAACCAAAAACAGTACACACACACAGGTAAAAGTTTATAACACAATAGGAGACCGAACCACACACTGTACACAAACAGGTACAAGTATTATGAAACAACAGTAGACCGAACCATACACAGTATACAAACAGGTAAAAGTATTATCACACAACAGCAAACTCGAACCACACACACCATACAAACAGGTAAAAGTAGTGTCACACAATAGTAGAGCCAAACCACTCACAGTACAGAAAGAGGTAAAAGTATTATCACACAACAATAGACTCGAACCACACACAATACACATACATATGTAGTATTATCACACAATAGGAGACCGAACTATACACAGTACTCAAAAAGGTAAAAGTATTATTATACAACATTATAGAAAACTATACACAGTACTCAAAAAGTAAAAGTATTATTATACAACATTATAGAAAACTATACACAGTACTCAGAAAGGTAAAAGTATTATTATACAACACTATAGAAAACTATACACAGTACACAAACAAGTAAAATGATTACCGAAGAATAGTAAACCGAACCACACATGTTGCACAAACAGGTAAAAGTATTATCGCAGAACAGTAGACCGAACCACTCACAGTACCCAAACAGGTACAAGTGTTATGAAATGACACTGACAGAACCACGCTCAGTACACAAACAGGTAAATGTATTATCATACAACAGTAGACCCGAACCACTCACAGTACACAAACAGGCAAAAGTACTATTACACAAAAGTAGACCAAACCACACACGGTACACAAACAGGTACAAGTCAACAGTTAACCGAACCATGCATATTGCACAAACGGGTAAAAGTATTACCACACACAATACAGAAAGAAGAAAAACTATTATTATACAAAAGTAGAACCGAACCACACACTGTACTCAAACAGGTAAAAGTATTATCACAGAACAGTAGAACCAAACACACACAGTAGACAAACAGGTAAAAGTATTATTATACAACACTAGACCAAACCACACACAGTACACAAACAGCAAAAATTATTACCGCAGAACAGTAAACCGAACCACACCCGGTACACAAACAGGTAAAAGTATTATAGCACAACAGTAGACCGAACCACACACACACAATGCAAAAACAGGTACAAGTGTTATGAAACGACACCAGACAGAACCATGTACAGCAGAAACAGGTAAAAGTATTATTACACAAAGACAGAACCGAACCACTCACAGCACAAAAACAGGTAAAAGTATCATCATACAACAGTAGATCCGAACCACTCATAGTACACAAACAGGTAAAAGTATCATCATACAACAGTAGATCCGAACCACTCATAGTACACAAACAGGTAAAAGTATCATCATACAACAGTAGATCCGAACCACTCATAGCACAAAAACAGGTAAAAGTATCATCATACAACAGTAGACCCGAACCACTCATAGTACACAAACAGGTAAAAGTATCATCATACAACAGTAGATCCGAACCACTCACAGCACAAAAACAGTAAAAGTATCATCATACAACAGTAGATCCGAACCACTCATAGTACACAAACAGGTAAAAGTATTATCACACAACAGTAGACCAAACCACACACAAACAGGTAAAACAATTAACATACACAATACACAAACAGGTAAAAACTATTACCACACAACAGAAGACCGAACCACATACAATATGCAAACGTGTAAAAGTATCATCACACAATAGTACACCAAACCACACACAATACACAAACATATAGAATTATTATCACACAATAGTAGGCCGAACCACACACAATACACAAAGAAGTACAAGTGTTATGAAACAACAGCAGACTGATCCACGCACACAACACAAACAGGTAAAAGTATTATCACACAACAGTAGACCAAACCACACAAAAACAGGTAAAAATATTAGCACACATAATACAGAAACGGTTAAAACTATTACCGCACAACAGAAGACCGAACCACATACAATACACAAACAGGTAAAATAATTATCACACAACAGTGGACTCGAACCACTCACAGTACAGAAACAGGTAAAAGTATGATCACACAACAGTCGACCAAACCACACAAAAACAGGTAAAAATATTAGCACACATAATACAGAAACGGGTAAAACTATTACCACATAACAGAAGACCGAACCACATACAATACGCATACGGGTAAAAGTATTATTACACACATTATAGAAACAGGTAAGGTACACAAAAAGTTACAGATCTTATGAAACAACAATAGACCGAACCATGCATGGTACACAAACAGGTAGAAGTATTATTACACATAGTACACACACAGGTAAAAGTACTATCACACAAAATTAGACGAACCATGCATAGTACACAAACAGGTAAAAGTATTATCACATAATAGTACACCGAACCACACATACAATACACACAAACAGGTACAAGTCTTATGAAACAATAGTAGACCTAACCATGCACAGTACACAGCCAGGCAAAAGTATTATTACATACAGTACACAAACAGGTAAAAATATTATTACAGATAGTACACAATCAGGTAAAAGTACTATCGCACAAAATCAGACCGAACCACACACAGTTACAAAAACAGGTAAAATTATTATCACACAACAGTAGACCTAACCGCACACAATACACAAAAAGGTAAAAGTATTACCACACAAGAAAATACCGAACATCACTCAGTACATAAACAGGTATAAGTGATTTTTTTTGGTTGCTTAACAATATCAAATGTAGGAGGCGTTTATTCACATAAGTCGATTGACAGAGAAAATAGTGTTATATAGAGTTTAGATCCTTCGTGTTGTTTATCGATATCTGTGAAAAGATTTGACGACCAGCGATTGAATATTAATAGTTTTGTGGATGTAAATGTTTACTCACGTTCTAACAGCATCCTCCTATTTATTCTTAACAGCTACAATAACTTTCACATTTCTGAAGCAAATAAGGACTGGTTTTTTCTCTTCCTGGAATCTAATTACTATGTTAAAAAAGTCTAGATTTGTAGTTTTACGACACATCTCATTTTAATATATGGATACTTGTGGATCAACATTCGCTACATGTAGCAGTTACGATGTTTGTTCAAACCCTTATGGTACCGGTTATCTGATCTGAGAATTAATATATTTCACCGGTCACGTAAAGCCAGAGAAAGGAACTGCGGACTTTTAAGTTCACAGTAGAATTGTTGGTATTTAATAACCACTAACTATAGATTCCAGGTATACCTAAACACAATACCCTATACCTAAAATCTACTGATTACATAGTTAAGACAATACCTAAACACTATTGATTACAAACTAATACCCCAAACTAAACGCCACTGACTAGACAGTCAAGACAATTCCTATACCTAAACACTACCGATTATAAAGACGAGACAATACCCCCTTACTTAAACACTACTGAATAAAAAGTCAAGAAATATCCATACCTAAATACTACTGACTATACAGTGAAAGAAATATCAAATACCTCAATACTACTGATAACATAGTCAACACAATACCATATACTTAAACACCACTGAATACTAAGTGAAGATAATACCCATACCTAAACAGTACTGCTTACACAATTAAGACAATACCTAAATACTATTGATTATACAGTTAAGACAATATCAATACCTACAGACTAAAGATTACACAATCAAGAGAATACTCTTCACTAAACACTAAGGATTACACAGTCAACAAGAGTGTACTTTTCGCGTGGATGGGTGAAGTTCACTCGGTTGATGATTTAAAATGAGTGTATGTTTTCTATTGATGGTGATGTTGACTCGGTTGGTGATACAAAACGAGTGTATGTTT